TAGACTGGTGACATTACTGTTTGTCAAGTTGATCATACGAATCTGGTAGACTTTGAAGTAGAAGTTCAGCACGTTCTTGTTCTCCTATTGTACATCTTAAAGATGTAAGCTGAGAAAATAAAGTGTTCAATGTGTTTAAGTGCTCCGTCACTGAAGTAGATTATGTCATACGGAGAGTGTACAATTTCCTCTTAAGGAAATTCTTATTGTGCAGTGATGTGGCCTCGTACAGTTTGGTGAGATGATCTCATATCTCCTTAGCTGTATTCTTCTCCTTGATGCTTGACAATACTTCATCTGCTAATGCTAGATGAAAGTTTGTCATAACATTTCCGTCCATTTCGATCCATTTGTTGTCATCTGTGAAATCCATTGGCCTTTCACTGATAGCTGCTAGACAACCGTTTTTCCTCAGGATAACCTTCATCTTCAATTTCCATAATGAGAAATTTCTCTCATTGAATTTTTCAATATCAAATTTCGTTGCCATAGCGTCTTTTACAGATAGCTCTCACTATTTCACTATCGTGAATAGTTCTCTGGAACCTTCAAAGAATGTGTAATACCCTTCTTACTTTCTTATGTTGGATAATCCACCTTTTGGTGGAGCATTATAGCTTTCTTCCAATACTAGAGAGAATTTAGAGAGTTTCTTGAGAGTTGTTTTTTTCTTTTTATCAAGAGAGAATTATCATTGTTTTCTCCTTGGTAGATCAAGAGAAGTTGTAATTCATATTTTCTCATTGTGAAATTCTTCTACCGTTGCCCGTGGTTTTTACCCTATATTATTTAGGGGTTTTCTACGTAAATTTTATATCTCTTTTATCTTCATTTTTATTTTCTCAAATTATCATTTACGATTTTACTCTATCCGATAGCCATCTTCCGAAACAAATTAGTCGCACCTTCTGTTTTTAATCAATAAATTTTCGTTTTGAGACAATATATCATGTAAAAAAAACACTTCCTATTAAACAAGTCATTTTAAATGCAACTTATAAGGAGCTCATTTTCCCTGCGTGTACTACTCTATGTCAAAAGCGAGTATCATTTTTATAATTAATTTTTTAAATGTTATTTATTTAAATAATTAAAATAATAGGATTATTTAGAGAAATTTACTCAGTATATTACTATTTAAATATTAAATTTGTCGGTCCAACACATATGAAGAAAGCCTTGAATTACTGTTGCAACAACCATGCAAATTGCAAATGGTACATTTTTGTTTGGATCCATATTTCATAAGTCGACAGTCGACATCAGGGTCGTATTTGAGTCTGGAGGAGTACCAGCTCAAGGCATAATTATGAAATTTAAATATATTTAAAAAATAATTTTATAAGTTTATAAATAATTTATTTAATATTTTTATTTACATTTAATATATTTATTCTATAATTTATTAAACGCCATAAAAATATAAATTTATAAATAAATTAATTTAGATAGTATTCATTGTTAGATATCCAATTCTAAATTCGGATCTAGTCGACATTAGATTATGGAGCAATAAATTAAATAACAATAAATAAAAAGATAAACATAAAAAATTGAGAAATTTGAAGATATAAGATTTTGGTGGATTACAAAGGACAAGATGAGAAACCACATAATCTTATGTGGGGAATATAAATACTTTATTCAAAATAAAAATATATTATATTTATTTCTCTTCTCGTTAATCATAGCTTATGATAAGCCGTATTGTTACTGTGAAAAAAACTTTATTCATGATTTATTTGTTTTTTTTTTAGAAATCTTGGCAGAAGATTGTAGAAGAATTAATTGATTTTAGTGGTAAAATCCTTTAATAATTTTTTAGATGTTATAGGTCGAGTAATTACAGCACGTTCTTGTTCTCCTATTGTACATCTTAAAGATGTAAGCTGAGAAAATAAAGTGTTCAATGTGTTTAAGTGCTCCGTCACTGAAGTAGATTATGTCATACGGAGAGTGTACAATTTCCTCTTAAGGAAATTCTTATTGTGCAGTGATGTGGCCTCGTACAGTTTGGTGAGATGATCTCATATCTCCTTAGCTGTATTCTTCTCCTTGATGCTTGACAATACTTCATCTGCTAATGCTAGATGAAAGTTTGTCATAACATTTCCGTCCATTTCGATCCATTTGTTGTCATCTGTGAAATCCATTGGCCTTTCACTGATAGCTGCTAGACAACCGTTTTTCCTCAGGATAACCTTCATCTTCAATTTCCATAATGAGAAATTTCTCTCATTGAATTTTTCAATATCAAATTTCGTTGCCATAGCGTCTTTTACAGATAGCTCTCACTATTTCACTATCGTGAATAGTTCTCTGGAACCTTCAAAGAATGTGTAATACCTTCTTACTTTCTTATGTTGGATAATCCACCTTTTGGTGGAGCATTATAGCTTTCTTCCAATACTAGAGAGAATTTAGAGAGTTTCTTGAGAGTTGTTTTTTTCTTTTTATCAAGAGAGAATTATCATTGTTTTCTCCTTGGTAGATCAAGAGAAGTTGTAATTCATATTTTCTCATTGTGAAATTCTTCTACCGTTGCCCGTGGTTTTTACCCTATATTATTTAGGGGTTTTCTACGTAAATTTTATATCTCTTTTATCTTCATTTTTATTTTCTCAAATTATCATTTACGATTTTACTCTATCCGATAGCCATCTTCCGAAACAAATTAGTCGCACCTTCTGTTTTTAATCAATAAATTTTCGTTTTGAGACAATATATCATGTAAAAAAAACACTTCCTATTAAACAAGTCATTTTAAATGCAACTTATAAGGAGCTCATTTTCCCTGCGTGTACTACTCTATGTCAAAAGCGAGTATCATTTTTATAATTAATTTTTTAAATGTTATTTATTTAAATAATTAAAATAATAATTATTTAGAGAATTTACTCATATATTACTATTAAATATTAATTTGTCGGTCCAACACATATGAAGAAAGCCTTGAATTACTGTTGCAACAACCATGCAAATTGCAAATGGTACATTTTTGTTTGGATCCATATTTCATAAGTCGACAGTCGACATCAGGGTCGTATTTGAGTCTGGAGGAGTACCAGCTCAAGGCATAATTATGAAATTTAAATATATTTAAAAAATAATTTTATAAGTTTATAAATAATTTATTTAATATTTTTATTTACATTTAATATATTTATTCTATAATTTATTAAACGCCATAAAAATATAATTTATAAATAAATTAATTTAGATAGTATTCATTGTTAGATATCCAATTCTAAATTCGGATCTAGTCGACATTAGATTATGGAGCAATAAATTAAATAACAATAAATAAAAAGATAAACATAAAAAATTGAGAAATTTGAAGATATAAGATTTTGGTGGATTACAAAGGACAAGATGAGAAACCACATAATCTTATGTGGGGAATATAAATACTTTATTCAAAATAAAAATATATTATATTTATTTCTCTTCTCGTTAATCATAGCTTATGATAAGCCGTATTGTTACTGTGAAAAAAACTTTATTCATGATTTATTTGTTTTTTTTAGAAATCTTGGCAGAAGATTGTAGAAGAATTAATTGATTTTAGTGGTAAAATCCTTTAATAATTTTTTAGATGTTATAGGTTCGAGTAATTACGTTTATAAGGCGTGTACGTTATCAATGGTTGAAAAAGATTATGAATAAATATTATTTTATAACCACCTTAGACTATTATGAGACATATTAGTTTTATTATATACCAATCAACAAGTTTGGAACATATGAATAATTGAGTGATCATTTTATGACTTTTAATAGATAGAAGACTCAATAAAGTAACGACCTATAATTGAATGATCATTTTGTAACTTTTAATAATCAAGAGACTTAACAAAGTAACATTATATAATAAATGACTATTTATGTATTTTACTTAAAATTTTAAAACAATGGTTACCTAATATTCACTCAAATTATTAACAAAATATGCTTGTATCAATCTATGTGTTTAAAATTTTACACAATAATTGATTTTATAATTTCAAAAAGGAAATATTTTATATTGTAAAAAGATGACATGTATACAACTATTCCACTATTTAGCAAAGCATCCGCTACCATTCAAACCGTGCGGTGACCCGTTGGTTTTTTGTGGGAGGATCCAATTAGATATCGCTGTCGACAATTTTGTCTTGAAAATATGGTGGGAACAAAGAATTTATCACATATAGTTTTTTTTTGAATTATTTTTTAAGTAGGATAATAGTTATAATGTCACCTAAAAAAGGTCGAGAACACAATATATCTTCAGTTTTTATGGTGAAAACACGTTATGGTCAGTGCATTTTCGTGTGTATTGTTTGAAAAATTAAAGACGTATTACAGTTCACGTGTCTTTCAAAATCGAATTAAAGACGTATAATATCTTATACACCTTTCTCATTATACTATAACATTTACCCTAGTCTAAGAAATAATTCTCAGGGTATACTATGCAAACATTCTTTTTTTCCCATACATTATCTCAGCTATTTTGGCGGTTGGTGTCCCTTCCTCTACCAACAAAATAAATATGTTTATCCTTTCAAAAATTAATAAATCAATCAATAATATTTTGAATAAAATATGAAAATAGTATCTCTATTATAGAGTATTTTTAATTGAGTATTTCAACTATAAGAAATTATAAATTAATTATTTGATTTAAAGATATCATTCAATATAATTATAGTTATTTCCAAAAGTATGAATTTTCCCTTTTTACGAACTCTAATTTTTTGTTTTTAAGAAGCTATTGAATGATATCTATAGTAAAAAGTATAATATTATATTTATAGAATGTAAATTTGAACAACTATATATATACATTATCAATAGATTAGGAAAATTCTGAATATATATTACCTTATAATCGTTGAAGACTATTTGACAAATAAAGAATAATTTTTCCCTTGTGGAGACGAGAATCTTGTACCCAAATAGTTGGATCTGAAATTGCTTTTTTTTTGTAAAGCCAAAAAAACAAAAGAACAATCAAATTATGAAGACGGATGAAATTCCAATTGCATTGCTGAAGTTCAAAACATTCTCAACCATGAAGAATACTGTTTGTGTCAGTCTCGCACCATATACACTGTTATTCCCCCTATTGGGAAAAAAAATAAAAAACTCGAAAGGACGATGTTCTTCCATTCCACCATCCCAATCTACATGGCAACAATCTAAACTATGTTACTCGGACTCGAGTGTGATTGTTGGATACCGATACGTATCTGACACAGATATCTCAAACACTCCAAAGTTCTTCCATGTATTTAGAAAGTCCTTGATGGATCAAATCCCTATATTCATGTCCAAATATACATCGAACACGGTATCAGACTTGTATACTTGGAGAAAAACTCAGATCCAAGCAACGTCGGGCCTAAGTATAATTTTTTTTTTCACAACCTACATTACCTCACCTGATATCTGCACGTTCTTCCCTCAAGGTTGGAAAACAAAAAGTAATAAACATAAATAATTAAAGAAAAAGAGGTCTGAGTGATCAGAATACCTAGTAATTGTAACTCATGGTGAAATGAACCCCTCAGCTCTTGTTTTCTGAAGCAAGGCGTTCATAAAATAAGATATACCCATGATCAGTATTACTAGAATACTCCTGGGCTGACCCAAAAAATGTCTGAACTGCAGACTCGTCAATCATCTCCACATTCTCATCGTCGAAAAATAACCAATGGTTATGGCTTTTCACCAGGCTAATGTAGTGGCCGTGGTTAGGTCCACTTCCCACGTGAACAACTACAGCAAATAGAGAATACTCCGAATCTGCATCTTCCACAGTGTTGCTTAGCTTCAGCTCAAGCGGAAATACAACACGGTAGGAGAGTTTCTTGTACCGGCCAAGCTGCTCAATGTACTTGAACCGCTTCAAATGGATAACAAGGATGTGAGGAGGTTTCTTTATCTTCATTCTCTTCTGTGCTTCTTGCAAACTGCAAGTATTAAACATCATCCATAGATATTCCTATCTTCATGCTAATCATTAAAATGATTGCATCCATAGATATTCCTATCTTCATGCTTATCATTAAAATGAGTGCATGATATGCATCTTCAGAACCGTATAATTTTATGATTTAAGCTCAGCATAAAGTAAGAACTCTATTTATGTGGGAAAACGAGTTAAATGCAACATGTAAGTGCGATGTTTGAATCATAGAGGAAAAAAGTAAAAGCCATGAGGTTTGCATGTTTTGCCTGTTCTGCTAAAACTAATATCTCATCAACGTCCATAACCAGAAATGACCACTTTTACTAACAAAACCTCAATTTAACATATTAACGCTTGACTGATCAGTCTGAAAATCTCACACATGACAGGAGTTGAGTGAAATATTTATTGTCAATGTAAATCAGGAACCATGTGACAAAGAAAACAGGCTGTTACCGATTACAAATGAAATCACGTCAAGAGCTGAAAGAAAACACATGAAGGAAAATTACAAGTGATGGAAAAGCACACTTACAAAGGAAAATTACCTGCAGCACTTGTCACAGAAAAATTTGTCCTCAGCATTCAATGTCTCGGTAGAACTAAAATTTTTCAGACAGCTAGTTATTGAGCTGTTCTGTTCAATGTCAAGGCTCAAGTCGAAGAAAGTTTCATCTCTCGCTGTCACTGTTTCACATCGCAAGCATCTTGTCTCATTGGTAAGTATTCCCTGTCTCAAATCACCCATGAAAAAATGAGATTCTACACAGATCGCAAACACAACAAAACCACACATACATAGTATCTTATAAACATTGTCAATTGGAGAGACATTCCCATGATCTTGATCATGTAACAAGGTTACAAGTTTAGATTAATTTTCCTACACAGATGCTTTCCAGACATATACATTCAGCTATCCCATGATTTTGGTCATGTAATGAGGTTACATGTTTCATACTATCTTATAATTTGTTTTAGATATAACCTGCGGAAAGATAACTTGATTTCATCGTAATTTCAAGTCAAGCAAAGTAAATACACCACGAGACTAGAATGACCGATCAGAAGATAGGAATATAGCTAGAAAACGCACCTGAAAATTCTTGTGTACCCATGTAACAAGAGGCTCTTTATTAACACCATTTGCCTGAGGATTCTTTGGCCCATTCACAATCTTTTCAGGTGGTGATGAAGTTTCAACCTCATCTTTTGCATTTTGCGCCTCTTTCTCCAAGATGTCTACGAGTTCATTTAGCAGAAAGTTCAAGAACTCATGAGCGTCCTAACAAAAAGAGAAAGTTATTCAATTCTGCATTTTCAATTAAGACAACAAAAAATGTACATGCAAGAAAAGATACAAGTTTATAAATTGAAACCTTGAACCAAGCGAAACAGATAATGACTTTAGAAAAGTGAATTAAGGTACTTGAGCCAAACACATATGAAGCAATCTAATACCTGGTGCATATAGCTGCGGAAAAGCTCATTTTGTTTCTTCAATCGCTGTACAAAGCGCTTTGGAGCAATGACACCTGTTTTCTTCTTCTGCGAACTTATCTAAACATAAAAAACAACCAACCGTTGGTCCCAATAGTAATTAAGTAGAAACTGCATCATAGGTGGCACAAGTACCACAGGAGAGAGGGAACAGGAGGAAAGATATAACAGTCTAATAACATGTAACAACCCGGAAAAATTTAGAATAATATTAAATTGAAATTGGAGGTTAATTGTGAAAATTGGTAAATTTTTTTGGGACTAAATTGAAATATTTTAAAACTTGGAGCTTGTTTTAGAGTTAAAGAAAATTCAGGGACCAAGCCTTAAATTTATCCTAAAAGTGTCGGCAGCTTTGGGGATTTAAGCGTGTTTCTGGTTTCAAATCAGAAACCACAAATGTTAAATTGCTTAAGTTTTTCTCCTCCCGTACCCTTACTTCCAAGCCCGATTCCGACGCCGTTCGACGTCCAATCGTAAAATTGAAACCACCGTTGTGTTCATCATCAAGCGAGGAACAAACCCTTCAAATTAATTGAAGTGAAACGCTGCCAACGTCGGGAATTTTCAGTCAAAGCATCGTCGTTTTTTTAGCTCTATCGCAAAAACTTAAATTCACCGTCGATCGTTGTTCCGTTTACGACACCTCCTGCATCATCGTGTTCCTTGTGTCGTTGCGAGTCCGCCGGTGTCAACCTTGTTCGCCGTCGACGGCGGCGCGTGAGGAGGTGGAGCAGTCAAAGATTCGGCCGAGTTGAAATACGAGCTCTCCGCCGTTCAAAATTTGAACCGATCGTTGTAAGTATCTCGAAATCGCTCAAAATAATTTTTAGAAATTTTTCCAGGAATTTTCCGACACCGTGCACTGTTCACGCGCCGCCGCAGGAGAGTGAGCTGCTGGAAAACCGGTTTGACCGTTTGAACCGGTTTTGACCGGTCTGAACCGGGTTGACGGTCCGAACCGTCAAGCTGGAAAATTTTACGGACCTAATGTGACTCTTAGGTAGGCTCTGCGGCCCTGAGATCATTCTCGGGTAGGCCCTGCGGCCCTAAGATGTGTTCTTAGGTAGGCCCCACGGCCCCGAAAATCTATCTTGGGTAGGCTCTCAGGCCCTAAGATGTTCCCTTAGGGTAACGCTTTTTAAAGAGATTTACTGCAGTATAATTTTATGAGACTTTTTGGACTATGATATGTTTAGTGTACCTATAGTGATTTTATGGTAATATTGGGACACACTGAGCTAGCTCACTTTTCGAAAATGTTTTTCCCCTTTCAGATACTGTTGGTTAGATACCCTGGATTGAGCACTTGGAGGATCAACATATCTCTTGAAGTATATCTGATTGTAATGTTTTTACCTTGCAAGTTGACTTATTTTGTTGACATGGACCTTATTTTAAAGTATGGGATTTTAATATGATGACATTTTTACTATTACTATTCGGTTTATCGTGATTTGATTTTTAAGATATGTTTTAAATTAATTTATTACTTATTGGTATTATATTTACAAGTTAGGTTTTGATAGTATGATTTATTATAATTTCATGTCATTTATAATGTGATTTTACATTGTTTGAATAACGGTTTCGGAAAAATGTCTTAAAGAATCATAATGTGATCCACTAGACTTAGTCGAAACGCATAGGCCGGGTCTAGGGGGTTACATTTATGGTATCAGAGCTTTTGGTTTTTAACCTCGGACTGTGTATGAGTCCACATGGAAGATACGATTTTGAATATTTTACAAAACAAGATACAAAGGTCACACAAAGTTATTAAAATTTTAACTGTGTCGAGACTCCAAGTGCTTATCTAACCCTAAGTTTTATCTTCTGTAGTAAACTTGAGATCCATCAAAATGAGTGCTAGACGTGGTCGTCGAACTAGCCGTGGAGTTCGAGTGGCTAGATTTGCAGATCCATCGATGAGATACGAGTAGATCCCCCACCTCCGATAGGTGATCCTGCTCCTACGACCCCAACGAATCTGCCTCCTACCGATGGTATTGGCATGACTACACCGATCATAGGAGCGACAGATATTGAGCCAGAATCTACCGGAGTTGCTTTGGATGATACTTTTGGTAGACAGTTTCTGCAGTTGATACAGGGAGCAGTCAGAGCTGCTGGTGTTGTATCTGAGGTTCCTATTTCGCAAACTCTAATTGCTAATGTGGTCAGGACTTTTGGAGGACAGCTTGGAGGAATTCCTACTGAAGCAGAAGATTGGCTACAGGATACAGAAAGACGCATGGATCAGTTGGGTTTGGACTCAACTAAGAGATATTTGGGGGCAGTAGCGATGTTAGATGGCAATGCCCACACATGGTGGGAGTCAGTGACCGGTAGTGTTCCTACCGATCGTTTGACATGGATTTCTTCAAGGAGCGTTTTCGGAGCCGATTCTTGGTGAGCGCTACTTAGTCCAGAGACGACAGCAGTTTCAGGACTTGGTTCAGGGTTACATGACTGTTTCAGAGTATGAGATAGAGTTCTTGAAATTGTTAAAGTATGGAATCAGTCTGGTGCCTACCGAGAGAGATCGATGCCGTAAATTTGCCCTCGGACTCAGATACGAGCTACGTAGGCAGGTGTAGCCCTTCAAGATGAGATTTTTGATGTGCTGGTAAGCAGAGCAAGGATGCTGAGGAGATGGAGGCGTTACTTTGGTAGAGACGTGTTGATCAGGAGCGATCTAGGAAATCTTTTGGCCCTACTGAATCGTCCGCACAGTCTGTAAAGCTGTTAGTAGAGGTGGTTCTTCGGTTCCGATTCTAGTGCCTCAGTGTGACTTTTGTGGGAAACGACACAGAGGAGTGTTATAGGAAGACCGGAGCATGTTTTCATTGTGGATCTAGTGGACATTTTCGGAAGGATTGTCCTCAGCTAGCTTCGTCTGAGCGGACCGCTACCCAGACTCCTGTGCGTTCTCAGACAACAGTACAGACTCCAAATAGAGATCGTAGCCAAGTTAAGGCTCGTGGTTCAGCGTCCAGGACAGACAGTAGAGCCCGACCTCAGCAAAATAGAGGGCCAACGTTTCTGAGGCTAGACAACCAGCCTTGGTTTATGCACTAGACATCGTGATGACAGAGATGAGCCTGAGGTTATTGCAGGTATATTACTATTTATTCCATTCCATACTTTGCACTATTGGACAATGGCTCCACCACTCCTATGTATCGAGCTCAGTATCTCGAAACCTTCTCAGATTCCGACGAGAACACTAAAAATACTGTACAGTTACAAGTCCAGTAGGACAAGCGGTATTAGTGAATAAGGTATTTCGGCGTTGTCCTTTGGGGTGCAGGGAGAAATTTTTCTCGCTGATCTTATGGAGCTTCCTCTAGAGGAGTTTGATCTAATTCTTGGGATGGATTGGTTGAATAAACACAAGGTAAATCTGGATTGCGAGTACAAGCGAGCTACCTGAAGACTTCAGATGGTCGGACTGTTGTGTTAATGGTGAACGGCGTGGCTATCTCTCCAATATAATTTCAGCGATGGAAATTGATCGTATGATCCGAAAGGGAGAGACGTTCATTGCCTGTATTTTGAACTAAAGGTGCATTGTCCACAATCGAGGAGATTCGTACAGTTAGCGAGTTTCCTGATGTTTTTCTGAGAGTTGCCTGGGTACCTCCTGATTAGAGGTAGAGTTCGAGATTGAGACTTATCCGGGATCTTCACCTATTTCTATGGCACCTTATCGCATGGCTCCAAAGGAACTTAGGAGTTGAAGGTCCAATTGCAAGAATTATTCGATCGAGGATTTATCGACATAGTACTTCACCATGGGGAGCTCCAGTTCTATTCGTGAAAAAGAAGGATGGGTCGCTAAGATTATGTATTGACTCCTGTGCGTTCTCAGACAACAGTACAGACTCCAAATAGAGATCGTAGCCAAGTTAAGGCTCGTGGTTCAGCGTCCAGGACAGACAGTAGAGCCCGACCTCAGCAAAATAGAGGGCCAACAGTTTCTGAGGCTAGACAACCAGCCTTGGTTTATGCCACTAGACATCGTGATGACAGAGATGAGCCTGAGGTTATTGCAGGTATATTTACTATTTATTCCATTCCATACTTTGCACTATTGGACAATGGCTCCACCACTCCTATGTATCGAGCTCAGTATCTCGAAACCTTCAGATTCCGATCGAGAACACTAAAAATACTGTTACAGTTACAAGTCCAGTAGGACAAGCGGTATTAGTGAATAAGGTATTTCGGCGTTGTCCTTTGGAGGTGCAGGGAGAAATTTTCTCGCTGATCTTATGGAGCTTCCTCTAGAGGAGTTTGATCTAATTCTTGGGATGGATTGGTTGAATAAAACAAGGTAAATCTGGATTGCGAGTACAAGCGAGCTACCCTGAAGACTTCAGATGGTCGGACTGTTGTGTTAATTGGTGAACGGCGTGGCTATCTCTCCAATATATTTCAGCGATGGAAATTGATCGTATGATCCGAAAGGGATATGAGACGTTCATTGCCTGTATTTTGAACACTAAAGGTGCATTGTCCACAATCGAGGAGTTCGTACAGTTAGCGAGTTTCCTGATGTTTTTTCCTGAGGAGTTGCCTGGGTTACCTCCTGATAGAGAGGTAGAGTTCGAGATTGAGACTTATCCGGGATCTTCACCTATTTCTATGGCACCTTATCGCATGGCTCCAAAGGAACTTAAGGAGTTGAAGGTCCAATTGCAAGAATTATTCGATCGAGGATTTATCCGACATAGTACTTCACCATGGGGAGCTCCAGTTCTATTCGTGAAAAAGAAGGATGGGTCGCTAAGATTATGTATTGACTATCGGAAATTGAACAAGATGACGGTCAAGAATAAATACCCATTACCCAGGATTGATGACTTATTTGATCAATTGCGAGGAGCTACTGTATTCTCTAAGATTGATCTTCGTTCGGGGGTATTATCAATTGAAAGTTAAAGGATCTGATGTTGCAAAAACGGCCATTCGCACTAGTATGGTCATTATGAATTTTAGTGATGCCTTTTGGTTTGACGAACGCTCCTGCAGCTTTTATGGATTTGATGAATCGG